TTAAAAAAAATATGACAATAATATTAAGAACATTGATTTTAAAGTAAAGAACAAACAATTAAACCTCACCTGCTGCTCATAATCCTGCTTTAAATTTGTTTAATCCTGAGCGGACTGAACAAGCGGCACTTTGAAAGATGAAACCTCAGAGAATTATGGGAGAGCAACATCTTCTTTCTTACAGGTTGTTTTAGTGTTTCCTGAGAAGATCATCTGAGAAATATTGAACATCCTTCAAAACGTTTAAACAGGTTATATTGTTGCTGCTATTTCATGGTTTCTTTACTCAGCTTGAGACGTTCATGTAGATAAAATGACCCAGACCCAAAGACTAACAGAACCAACTGAGGAACAGACGACAAGAACATGAGACAAGATAAACACACGTTCTTAATAAATGTAAAAAACAACACGAGGGAAAAAAGAAACAAGACAGAAATCAGGACAGAAGACAACGTTCAGTTTATTTTTAAAAGCTTGACACAGAGACAACCTCAGACGCAAGGCAAATGATGATAGGGCGGAGCTACATGATAACAGGCCAGGTAAATGATGATGGGGTGGAGCTACATGATAACAGACCAGGTAAATGATGATGTGGCAGAGCTACATGATAACAGGCCAGGTAAATGATGATAGGGCGGAGCTACATGATAACAGGCCAGGTAAATGATGATGTGGCAGAGCTACACGATAATAGGCCAGGTAAATGATGATGGGGCGGAGCTACATGATAATAGGCCAGGTAAATGATGATAGAGCAGAGCTACATGATAACAGGCCAGGTAAATGATGATAGAGCAGAGCTACATGATAACAGGCCAGGTAAATGATGATAGAGCAGAGCTACATGATAATAGGCCAGGTAAATGATGATAGAGCAGAGCTACATGATAATAGGCCAGGTAAATGATGATGGGGTGGAGCTACATGATAACAGACCAGGCAAATGATGATAGGGCAGAGCTACATGATAACAGGCCAGGTAAATGATGAAGGGTCAGAGCTACATGATAACAGGCCAGGTAAATGATGATGGGGTGGAGCTACATGATAACAGGCCAGGTAAATGATGATAGAGCAGAGCTACATGATAACAGGCCAGGTAAATGATGATAGAGCAGAGCTACATGATAACAGGCCAGGTAAATGATGATGGGGCGGAGCTACATGATAACAGGCCAGGTAAATGATGAAGTGGCGGAGCAATTTGCCACAAGCTGGTAAATTTAATTGGGAGTGAAATTACATGACCACAGGCTGGTAAATCTTGATGGAGGTGAAGTTGAATGTTGCCAGGTGTGGTTATTATGAAATCAATGGGTTGGCTCTGTTCCAGTCCAGTCCTGATAGTCTGTTTCTGACTGATCCTGTGGAGGTCTAACTCAGCTATACTCAAAGGTAGGTGGGCCAGGGTTGAGTCGACAGATCAATGAAAAAGTATTAATCACTGGTTTACTTGATGCCCCTAATAATATACTGCAGGAGATGGACAAGGCTAAAACCAGAACTCTGCAGGTGATAATGGCAGGTTCTTGGGACTACTGGAGAAAATAAACTTACTGCAACATTTATATTATAACTTCCTGTTTAAACAAACTGCAGCTGTGAAACTCTAGCTCTGCTGGACTGAAACAAGGCAGCTGATGTTGGGTGGAGTCAGAGTTTATTCAAAAGGAACGAGGGTCTAAATGGGGCGGAGTCAGAGTATATCTAAGTGAGGTGAAGTCAGAGTGTATTCAAATGAGGCAGAGTAAACGTGTATCCAATTGGGGTGGAGCCACAGTATACTGTAATGGAGCAAAGTCAGAGTGTATCAAAGTGGGGTGGAGTCAGAGTGTATAAAAATGGGGTGGAGTCAAAGTGGATCCAAATAGGTGGAGCTAAAGCTATTCAGTCTGTTGAAAGTTGTTTTAAGTTTTCACAATAAGTGATGAGTTTCTAGAGGTTTTTTTTGTTAAAGTGCCAATGCGTCTTCACTGTTAGTGCGTTGTTAGTTTAAAGTTAGCTTCATGTTAGTATTAGCACTAAGTCTGAGCAATGAATTTTAGTATCTGTGTTAAAGCATTATTTTAAACGTGATTGTTCAGCTGCAGGCTGTTAGTGATCAAAGTTAACAGACAAAATACAAAAGTTGGAAATCTACAATCAGCTGATGCTCTGAAGTTTCTGTTTTATGCCTCTCAGCAGAGCTCAGTCCTGTGTGAACATCACAAACAGACGTAGTCAGGACAGGTGACAGACAAACACAGAGGAGCAGGTGCTTCACAGGTGTGTTACCTGGCTGAGGGCGGGATGATGGGACTCCTGCAGGTGACGTAGTGGTGTCCCACCTGGTGATGGAACTCCTGATGTCGATGCAGATCGTCCCAGTTTACACACAGACTTTGTTTCTGCAGAAACAGTTTGAGACAAATGATCTGACAGAAATCCTGAATACCTGAAGTTCACCTGAACTTCTTTGTATGGAGTGATGAGAAACTGGCAGATTTTGTTTCAAGCAGCAGAGTCTAGAAGGCTCTGGAGCACCACGTCTTTTATAGCATCAGTTTTACAAAGTTTTTGTGTTCTCATGTCTTTTAAATTTTTGATCTCCTAATTACGCCTAATGACTGAAGGGTCCTTTCATAAAGTAGACCTTTATCTTCCAACTGTACGGATGGATGTCTCCAACTGATCAGATTAAATCTACTAAACTCAATTACTAATTGAATTGTCCAATCAAAGAGCAGGTTTGGTTCCTGAACAGTGACTGTTCTGAGACTCTGATGGGTTTTACTGGCATGAAGAAGTGGTGATAAAAGTAAACATTTTGTTTTTGATTCTAAAGAAACCTTGCAAGGATCTGGAACCAAACCATCTTCCTCTTTGGTTTACAAACTCACAACCTTTGTGACTCTGATCCGAGCGGACCGAGCCTGCGGTCTTTGTTGTCTTGTTGAAGTCTTGACCCAGCAGATCAGTCTTCAGACACTTGCTGACCCACTTCAAACTGACATGGCCGTCTGACTCACCTCCTCCTCCTGACAGCATGGTGGTGGGGCTGACAGATGACCTCCCCATCCTGCTGGACACTGGACTCGACAGTCCGTCTCTGTCTTTACTGTCGTGCCTCGGCAGAGACTTGGACTCTCCTGCAGAGGAAACAGGAAATCACACAATGAAGAAAGTGTACAACCATCAAATGTTCAGATATACTACATTTATTTGTTCAAAAACACAGAAACAGTAGCAACAAAAACAAATGTAAAATCTAAAGAGGTTCTGTTTTCTGAAAAGATTGGCCTTAGCATAAGATGGTTGATGGAAATGATGTGAGCAAACAAAGACCAAAGATCTAGGAATGATACCATTATCCATCAGTCTGTCCATCATCTTCTCAAGTCAGGTCTCGGGGGCAGCATCTTGAGCAGGGAGGTCCAGACACCTCTTTCCACAGCCTCTTCCAGCTCTTCTGGGGGGACTCCAAGGTGTTCCCAGGACAACTGTAGTCCCTCCAGCGTGTCCTGGGTCTTCTCTGGGGTCTCCTCCCAGTCAGACATGCCTATAATACCTCCATGAGAGGTGTCCAGGGAACATCCTTACCAGATGCCTGAACCACCTCAACTGGCTCTTCTGGATGTGGAGGAGCAGCAGTTCTACTCAGAGTCTCTCCTGGATGACTGAACTTCTCACCCTATCTCTAAGGGAGAGTCCAGCTCTGCAGAGGAAACTCATTTCAACCTCCTGTATCCACGATCTCATTCTTTCAGTCAGAGTTCATGACCATAGGTGAGGGTAGGAACGTAGATGGTCCGGGTAGCAGAGAGCTTTGCCTTATAGCTCAGCTCCCTTTTCACCACAACGGACCGGCACAGAGTCTGCAAAACTGCAGTAGCCGCACCAATCTGTCTGTCTCCATTCTTCCCTCACTCGTAAATAAAACTTCAAGAAACTTGAACTCCGACACTTGAAGGAGAACCTCACTCCCAAGGGAGTTGAGGGGCGGCTGTGGCTGAGTGGTTAGAGCAGTCGTCCTCAAATGCAAGAAGTTGGGGGTTCATATCCACCAGCAGTCACATGCCAAAGTGTCCATGGGCAAGACATTGAACCCCTCGTTGCCTCTGATGTGTGTCCCATCAGTGAATGAATGTGATAAAGCACTGATTAGTCTCTTTAGAATGACTTGTTCAGTTGTCTTTGTATAGATCCAGTAGAGAGCTGTATGAACGGGTAAATGAGGCACAGATTGTTGTAAAGAGCTTTGAGTATCTTGATCAGATAGAAAGGTGCTATATAAGTACAGTCCATTTACCAACCTGGACAGGGCAATCCACACTTTTCTGACTGAGGGGTCCAACTGGTGAAATTATATAAAATAAATATATTGACAGCTTCAGCTAATACTAACAGCTGCTACCAGAGGAGCTCATTAAAGAGATAAAATAAAAAATATATATTTCCTATGGATGGGGATAGTTCTTCCTCTCTGACTGATCCAAGTCACAACAGAGTAAAACCTTCAGAGTTTTAGGGTCTCAGTAAAACAGGACACGGTGCTGGTCAGCAGGATGCTCAGATCCAAATGTCCCTGAAAGTACCAACTGGTTTCGACCGACTTATGGACCCAGAACTTGGTGCCTGTGGTCCAGCCATCTGCATCAGACCTTCATGATTGATTTATCTGTTTTCTGTGAATGCTCAACATAAATGAAACATGGAAGTAATGGAGAAAACCTGGGGCCTCATGTACAAAGACACATGGATTTCCTTCTGAAACATAAAATCTTAATTTGATAAACAGCGTATGCACAGATCAATCCAGATGTATGAAATCGTGTGTGCGCCTGAATCCAGGTGCACTTCCTTTGTACGTCCCAATCAATGTGGAATTGAGCGCACATGAAGGAATACCTGACTCCTCCCTCGATACGCCTGCATTTAAACATGCAAATAGATTTAAATCTGCCCTGCACCTGAGGAGTCTCCTCTCTGCGCTATCGAAAAGCATGTCCACACGCAGGAAATAGAGGAATTTCATGGAAAGTGAGTTGGAGACACGGTCTTCCAGCTCCCTCTGGTATTACCCTGTTGCTAAAGGAACCCCAGTGTGGTCAGCAGCTGAAGCCTAAAACATCTGATGATCCAGTCATGGAGTCATCATGGATCAGAACATCCTCTGTCTCTAAGTACACGCTCTCTGTGTGTTGCACCATTCAATATGTCCTCTAACAAAACTAAACCTGTTGTTGTTCAAGGTATTACCTGCACCACTTAGTGCAGCTTTTATATCCACCCATCTACCTGCACACATGTGGATGTATTAACTGTCCATCATGCGTGTTCCGTGTGTACAATAACAGTTTTCACATCATTAACAGTTTCCCAGTATCACCTCAAAGTGTTACCAACAGACCAGTAACCATAGAAACGTGCGCCAACCATGAAGTTAGCGCACATTTCCACGGTCATGTCATTCTTTATACGTTTGAAGCTTTGAGTGAAAAAGGGTGCACGCCACGTTTTTGTGCACGAGGCCCCTGGTGAGCAGGTGCAGTCTCCAACAATAGCGTCATCATTTTAAAGGATGTATTATCACAGGTCAGTGGAAAGATGGATGGACCAAATCAGTCTAGCAGACAGATGACTTATTGCGGTGCACCAGATGGACCAGCAGAACCAGGCCTGACCCAGATTAGGTCTGCAGTCAAGTTTAGAGAACACCAGTCTTTGTAGTTATGATGCTAACTGTTAAAATACTTACACAGCAGGGTTGTGGTCCTTACCTTCCCCCTCCCTGGTCTTCCTCCCTGATGACGTCCTCCTCATCGCCTGCTTGCCAGACGTAAACAGGTTGCTGAGCTCATCCATTGGACTTGGTGGAGTCTGTGACCTCACTGACACGTTGTGCATGGAGCTGTGGGTGGAGGAGGAGCTACTGACTTTAGCCCCACCCTCACTCACCCTCTGTGAGGATGATGATGATGAAGATGATGATCGAGGCATACTTCCTCCAGCTATAAGAGTATCATATGGCGGTGGCCTCTTCAAGCTCAGAGGAGTCAAAGGCCGCCCCTTGCTGACCGGAGAGGGACACGCCGATTGGCTACGGGGGTAACCATGACCGCTGTGGGTGGAGCTAGTTGATTTGTAGAAGCTAGAGGGCAGAGGTGGAGCTGACGAGCGGCCAGAGGAGGTGATAGTGTGGGTGTAAGGCAGGTCCCGGTCTCGGTCCCGGTCCCGGTCCCGGTCCCGGTCCCGGTCCCGGTCCCGGTCTCGGTCTCGGTCTCGGTCTCGGTCCCGGTCCTTGCGGTGGTGGCCGGAGCTCTGTGGGTGCTCGACAGCACCTGACTTATAGCCGGCATTTTCTAACATGGGCAGACGAGTGACGTCCAGAGGGGTGAGGGGGGACTCATCAGAGTTGGGGGAGCACTGAGCTGGGGCGGGTGGGAAGACAAGCAGCGGTGGACGGTGAGTCAGGAGGTTGGGGAAGGGCGGAGGGATGTCACAGAGCAAGCCTCGAGACAACCATGCTTCAGCATCAATGATGGCAGACTGTGCGTCCTGCAGGAAGTCCTCCAACATCGGGTACTTCATCTCCTCGTACACCGACTCACTCTGCTCATCTTCCACAGCATCCTGACCCTTCAGATCCTGGAGGATGTTCCCCACCATCTCAATGTAAACCGGCTCCTCGTCGTCTGTGTCTCTGGATGCTGGACTCTGACTTTGGGATGAAGATTTGTCCCCTTGCAAGGAAGACTTCTTGTTGCCATAGTTACGAATGAAGGACTCGTCGAAGGAAGAGCTCAGCTGAGTGTTGGGGTCTCTTCTAGGTTTGGGTGGGGGCATTTTTTTGGAGTCTTCGGTATGTAGATGGCGGTGAGCTGCAGAGAAACAGAAGTTAGAACCTGGGAACAAGAAGCTGATTTGATCCTCCAAAAACTGACTTCCATTAACAACCTGAGCCAGGCTGCTACTGTTGGACACTAGCTTGAGAACGGAGTCTCCAAAATGTCACGAAATGTTACTTTTCAATTTCCCTCAATGAGTCACAGAAGTTTGCAATGTTGCTTAAATTTTCAATTTAAACAAATTGGATGGACGGACAGTTGGATGGACGAACAGTTGGATGGATGAAGAGTTGGATGGATGGAGAATAGATGGATGATTTAAAACGTGTACAGTAAATACTGCAACATTTTTCCTTACAAAAAGTCATAATCACCGTAGCGTTGTCAGTTTCAGCTCACTGGGTATCGTGTAGGTAAGCAACAAAATAATGTGCACGGCCAAGAATACAATTTTACAAACACGCACTTCATCATATGTCATAAAAATAGTTCGATTATTTTTAACATGAGGCGAGCCTGTGATCAGAAGGTCACTGATTCGAACCCCTGGACCGACAGTATCAAAAATGTGGGTGGGTAAAGGTAAAGTACCCACACCTGCCTCCACCCTCATTTGCCCCACTCTGTGCCCTTGAGCAAGGCCCTTAAAATGTAAAAAAAACATGTTTATGTTCTTTCACACATCGTGCGCTTCAGTCTGAACCCTGGTTCTGTTAGAGGACCCCCCGTCAGGACGTTCAGTGTTGCTCTCACCTTCTGAATGTTCTGCAACGTCTTTGGTTTCTTGATACTCTCTTTTGGTGAATCCACAGCTTCCATCCACTGCCTCAGAGCTGCTGCTCAATTTGGTGTTGGGGTCTCTTTTGGGTTTGGGTGGAGGCTGCTTGCGACTGTGGTTGGGGTCTTCTTCTCCTCCACCCACTGAGTGGAGGGACTGGGATCGGACAGTGAAGCCTTGGCTGGATGTGGGCAGCCGGTCCTGAGGTGCTGGCATCGTCATGAAGCCCATCCTGAAATGCTTTCCAGAGTATGCTCCATCTGTTGCTGCAGGAACATCTTCACCAATCCTGAGAGAGAATATTTGGTTACTTCTTTTAGACTCTAACAGATTATTGTGGATTAGAGCATAATCCTCCAGATAAAACATCCGAAGTGAAGAAAGTCGTCCTTGTTACATGCCAGCGATAACGCTGCAACATGTTGATCAGTCAGTGATCAGCAGCATAATCCAAGAAAAGTTTGGTTGTCTTTAAACCTACTGAGGTCATCAACATTTCAAAATAAAAGCTGATCCAGGCATGTGTTTTATTTCAGCAGGAACATTTTTAATTCATTTCCTGTTTGTTTGTATTTACAGCCAGGTCTGAGTGTGAAGGTTTGATGGATCCTACCTTTTGATGGATTCTTCCTGCCGTCTCTTCTTCTGGTGTTTTTCTTGCAAATAGGTCCAGTTGGTCTGGTTCCGTATGCGGTCGCTCTCTCTGGCAATGTCGGAGGCATTTTGGATCACTAGACCATCGTATGTATGGAGTCCGCTGTCCTCCACATACTGAAAAAACCTCCTGAAGGAAGACGTCTCCTCCTGGGACGTCATGACCCCCCCAAATATCTGAGACCAAGAAGAGAGAAGAGGATCTAAAGTTTGAATCGGATCAGACTCTAAAAACCAGAACCCTTCATTCACAGCTTCCTGTTGTGATAAAGCTTCAAAAATAAGTCTGGTTCTGGTATCAACCACTCTGTGAGAGTAAGACACCCTCATCATTTCAGTGTCAAAACACATTAAAAATATTGTGTTGATCATCAAAGTGTTTTTATGAACAAGAATGTGTGTAAGACATTAAAGTAAAAACCCTAAAAATATAAGTACAGAAAAGATTCATGTTTGAAGGTCTTTTGAAAATCTAAGACATCTGTGGACGTCATCACTTCCTTTTTAATTCAAACCTCATGCCACTTCCTGTTTGTTTCAAACCTGATACGACTTCCTGTTTGTTTCAGACATAATGCCACTTCCTGTTTGTTTCAGACATAATGCCACTTCCTGTTTGTTTCAGACCTAATGCCACTTCCTGTTTGTTTCAGACCTCATACGCCTTCCTGTTTGTTTCAGACCTAATACCACTTCCTGTTTGTTTCAGACCTAATGCCACTTCCTGTTTGTTTCAGACCCAATGCCACTTCCTGTTTGTTTCAGACCTAATGCCACTTCCTGTTTGTTTCATACCCAATGCCACTTCCTGTTTGTTTCAGACCTAATGCCACTTCCTGTTTGTTTCAGACCTCATACGCCTTCCTGTTTGTTTCAGACCTAATACCACTTCCTGTTTGTTTCAGACCTAATGCCACTTCCTGTTTGTTTCAGTCCCAATGCCACTTCCTGTTTGTTTCAGACCTAATGCCACTTCCTGTTTGTTTCAGACC